CTCAACAACTGCGACATGATGAATGAAAAAATATAGCTGTGTACTAAGCATTTATTCAAGTTTTTTTTTTTGTTATTTTCGAATGGATAATTTACAGAAATAACAATTTGCTTGAGCAGTAGCCGGTCCATCCCATGTGTTGTCCAATCAGGTCTGTTGTAGTGAACATAGCATGGAAGTCGTATTTGAAGATCAAAATTGGATGTGTATTCTGCAGGCAGTTTGTGCCATATACTCAATAATTCTGCAGGTCTCACATTGCTTATTAAATATTCCAGCGGCGGAATATTCTTCTCAAACTCTTCTAATGTAAATTCCGATAATGTTTTATTATCCATCGTTGTGTTGTTGTTATTGTTTAGAAATTTCAAACACAATTGTCCGCAATTAACTTGATTATAAGTTTGGTAAGGATCGTTGTTGTAGAAATTTTAGCGTTTTTCAGATATCGAACAAGTTCCTGTGGAGGCTTTCAGGTTACCAATGAATCGAAATACTCAACGTTGTTGTTTATCTTTTTATAAGCTACCCAATGAGTTCCGTTGTTTTTGTGAAATATCTAAGTTCACGACGGCGCATTCTCTTTTACGTGGACCGTCTCGTGGTAAAGTGTCACGCATGAGACACCTCGGAAATGAGGTATGTTCAAGAGCTTCGCATATTGCTTTATTTCATAATCATAAAGCGCTTTCTTGGGTAGCTTGATGTTTAGTTTTTTTGAGTTTTTTTTTTGACGGTACAACCCATAACACCTTTTAGCATTTTTCTCAAATACAATCCTTTGCCCAAAGACTCCATAGCTTTGTTATGGCGATGGTCTTCCTCCAATTTCTTTTGTGCATTCTTGGCATCAACGACCGTTTTGGCCACACCTGCAGCTCCCCCTGCGAGCGCCCCCAAGGCACTTAATCCGGCGAAAAGGGGGATCAAGGGTAGGAATCCCCCAGATTTTCCTTCGATCGGAATTATTCTCGGTAGTCGAACTTTATGTTTTCCACCTGCACTCTTCACCGCTAATCTTGCCGCTTTAAGAGCAACCAATGCAGACTTTTTTAATGTCGTGGTGGTGGGAGCATTTTTCTTCAAGGACTTTGTGATTTTCGTGAGAACACCTCGTCGAAAAGATGATTTCTTCTGCCCCATACCCAATTTTCGCTTAACTTTCATTGTGGTTGTTAGCCAAGCTGCAGTCTTTTCTCCTAGTGAAGCGTCAGGTGCTTTTACACGTTCCCAGGCTCGGTTCTCAAGAATCCAATCAGCTTTGTGCCTGTCTTTCAAATTTTTGTATAAGGCGTATGCAATATCGTGGTCTCTTGCAGCACGATCCAATGGGTTCTTTCCAGGATCTCCT